CTATTTATCTTCATAGCCAAGCACCAATGACTGGTTAATACTATTAATCATTATTAATAATTTTATTGTATTAATTAATGATCGATAGTAAAACTATATACAACATTTTGAAATGTTATAATTGGAAGTTCTTTGAACTTTATATAAAGGATTATAGAATTATCTAGAAGTTCTTTTCCAATTCTAGTTGATGGAAATAATAATGAAGTGTCCAAATTGAAAAATTTATTGAAGAAGTTTTAATAGCATCACCAGCAGAATTAGACAGTTGATGCTTATAAACTATCTTCATAAATTCATGATAAGCTTCATTAAGCCATTTAATGTTTGGTAGTTGTTCCATGTCATAAAAAGCATCATCGAATGAAGCTCCTTCATAGTCTTTAGGATTTCATTCTACCAAAAGAGATGCATTTGCTCTCTTATAGTCATTAGCATCACATTCTATATTTGCTAAAAGAGACTCTATTTCCATATTGGAATAAGGTAATGCTGATATGTCTTTGTTCTAAATAATATATATTATTAATTATATATTATAACTTATAATGATAATAAATGATTTATCTTGTAAATTATAAATTCATCAGAATCATATTCAGAAGTGCTGTATTCTGGAAGTTGCCAAATATTATTCTCTAATTGTTCAGAGAAAATAGCTTGATTCAATATTTCTGAAAGGTAAAGGTGACTTTGAGATATATGTTGAATTAGAGTGAATAATTTTGAAAATTTCTAATTACAATGCTTACAATACCAACACATTTTAGAAAATAAGAAAAGCTTAAAGAATAAATATAAAGAAAAAGAGTAAATAAATGATAATAACAAATATAAGAAGAAGCAAAAATGGTGATTATAATAAAAAATAGTGAAATAATGAAGATAAAAATAAAAGAAGAGTGCCAGAACATCAGAACCTGAACAGGATTCTGTTCCTTGGATTTAAAGAAATAAAGAAATAGATAGAAAGAAAGAGAAAGCAAAAAGAAAATAAAGTATATGAGAAAATATGAATTTGCAATATATCTAAGAAATGCCTATTTCCATTATGGAAATTTGCTATTTCCAGTATGCATATAATTTTCACTAACTAGCCAATAAAAATTTAAGATCAGATATTAATTTAAAAAAGCAAAAAATTTGTAACTCAAAAATTACATAAGACCACTCGCTACAGCATACACTTATCAGAAAATACAAATTTTAACTATTTTGGGAACTTATACAGGAAGGTTCCCAAAATTCTGAGTCAGAATACTTCAGAATTATGATTGGCAGGGCCAGAATTAACTAATTTTGCCCAAGATCACTAAAAGTTTTACTAATTAAACCATAGCTCACTCATTAAGTAAAGCTGCCCAGATGATAATTTTGGCTTAGAAATAGTTAATTTGTATTACTAAATGCTAACTAAATGCCAGACTAAATCTAATAGTTTCGACCTGGAATTTTGGAGATTCTTCTGTATAAATTTATTTTAGGAGCTGTCTAAAGTGGAGCAGAATCACATGATATCAGACCAATTAAAAAACTTTTTATGATTGCCAGTGAAGCAAAACAAACTAAAAAACTTGAAAAATACAAAGACAACAGTCTAAACCCACTCCAGATAGGTTAATTAAACATATAGAGAAGACAATTTACTTATATATAACTACCTAAAACATAACCTAATCCTAATGTTAATTTATCAAAATATGTATTATAAGAATCTACTCTGCTTTAGACATTCCCCTATTCCAGTTTAGCCTGACATGAATTTCTCACACATGTGATAGAAGAAAAACTCAAATACTCAAAAGCTAGTGTTTAAATCAACCTTGATGTACTAATTAAAAATGTCAGAAATGAAATTTTACATGTAATAGATAACAATATATTGCTATGGCATCTAATGTTAGCATCTTAATCCTAAACTTCTGTCTTTACATACTTAGTTTATTTACAAATTTTGATTACTCATGTAAATAAGTAAATCTCTTGCTATGCACTAACAAAGAAGATTTATTTGAAATTTTAGGTGTTAATAAAAACTTTCTAATCTAGTCTAATAACAAGACCTAACTCTAATTTAACAATGAAATTCTTTAGTAACATCAACTTTTAAAATTTGCTGATTTAGAGCTTGAGTCAGCATTGGTTAGAACTAAAAGTCAGAGAATAGATATCAGTAAACCAAATAAACCTGTGTTCAAAGTAATTTATCCAATCTTTTTGTATTTTGCAGTTTTTATAACTTAATTGTCTTGTTTAAAATATTATTATAGTAGCAAACAATATGTATTTAGTATTGTATTTTATTCATAAAATTAGTAGTATGATAATTATTCTCAGTTTTTATTATATAAATGCTATGCCTAAAATTATTCTCATCTGGAGTTGTAACTTCAGACATTTAAGGTAGTATAGTACTTCCTAAAATTAATGCATGCAAAATCTAATTTTGGATGCTAGATTTGTCTAGATAAAACTTTAGATGCTTGCCATTGCAAATGCTAACTTTTGACATAGCATAAACATTCTTTTTGAATATATAATAATTCTCATCATAATGTTTAGACATGAAAAATTAATAAAACCTGGTTTATGTGTACAAACTAAAATGATGTTTTCACTAATATTCATTACAGTCAAGCTTCTCTAAGTGCATTTTCTATAAGTGCATATTCTTTCTAAATGCATACTCGAATTCTGGCTCAAATATATACTTGATCTCTATAAATGCACTTTTCTTTATTCATGTTGTTAAAATGTAGTACGCATTTAAAGAGGTCTGGCCATATCATAATTAAAACATCCAATACAAAGTTATGTTAGTTATGGATCAGAATTATTTGAATTCTGTTAAATTAAATATTAATAGATTACATATTAATTCTGAAATAGTATTAAAGTTAGTTAGTAATTTGAATGAAAGCTAAAGTTTGAAACATTTTATTTGGGATGGAAATTAGTTCTTAAAAATTTTTAAAAAGTTATAAAGAATCAATTTTGAAAAACTGATTCTCAATAGCTACTTAAAATTTTAGGATCGATTCATATTCCTAGTTTCAACAGAAGTTCATTTTTGTATAATACAGTATGACCTCGATATAACAAACCTTGATAGACTGAATCAGCAGTATAACATAGCTAAAATTAAAGTTTTAAATAATAAGGTATCTCAATATATCAAAATCTTGATATATTAAACCAAACACCCCAGATTCAAAGCTTTATTATACTGTAAGTTCAAAATTAGTTTTAATTTACAAATAATTTGCAAATCAGATTTCATGATAAAGTTGATTGTATATGTTCAAATTACACTTATATTCATTATATAATCTCTCATCTAATATTAAATTTCATTGTAAATTGGTAATAATGATATCATAAACATAAAAATAACATTATAAAAGTTTTGCTTACCTATCTGTACTGTGTAAAATTTATTTATCAAATTGTGAATAAATTAAAATTCACTATACTGCATTTTAAAATGAACATTCATGTCTTTGTCCCTACCTCCAACTGGTTATTTCACTAGCTGTGAGGCTCTTATTCAATATGCCCAAAAACATGCATTTGATCATGGATATGCAGTGAGCATCAAAAGATCAGAGAGAAATAAATTTGTCTATTTATATTGTGACAGAGATGGCCTCTACAGAAATAAAATGAATTATACAAATGAGACTTGTCAAAAAGCCACAAGGTTGCAATTAATAAATTGCCTTTTTGAACTACATGGTAAAATAGAAAATGGGCAATGGTATTTGACAGTAAAAAATGCCAATCATAATTACAAAGCATCAGAAGATATATCAGGTAGAGTTAAAAATTATAACACAATTAGCATAATTGTTATAACAACAAAGTTGTTTTAAAGTATAATAAATAGGATAATAATGAATTTGGTACCATTTGGTCACCTTGATAAGGTGATCCAAATGAATCCAAAATCATATATTTTTGTCTGAATGTATAATATTTTCCATCCATAATATTATGTCATCTATCTAGTCATCAATTAACTAAAGAAGAACAACAAAATGTTCAACAAATGTCTGTTGCAAGTATCTGTTCATGGGAAATACTTTCCACACTTCGCCAAGGCAATTCAGACATTAAAGCAATTGCCAAAGCTATATATAATACTTGGAACAAGATTTGATATATTAATCTTCAGGGCTGTACACTAATCCAGGCTCTTCTTGATGAACTAAAAGATAAAAATTGTTATTATAACTATTGATACAATAAAGACAGACATATAACCCAACTTTTTTTTGCACATCCACTCTTGATTACACTTACTTAAACTTATAACTCTGTTCTTTTGATGGATTGCACCTATAAAATAAACAGATTTAGAATGCCATTACTTTATATTATTGGCATAACAAGTTTTAGTATTACATTTTCTTCTTGTTTTGCATTCATAAGATCAGAACATGAAGAAGATTATATATGAGCTCTAACTTGGGTTGCACACATGTTTAATAACAATTTGATACCTAAGGTTAGTATTATAAATTTTTAACTAATCGATTACTCAATTAGTTGCAACTAAGAACATACAAACTTAATAAATTAGTTTTTATAAACTGACCAGGTCAAAATTTACAAAACTTTAAAAAAAAAAATAGGTATACTTACTATCCAGATAAGTTTTTTAAAAATCTATAAAATTAAAAGCTGAATTGTCAGGTTACTTAAAAATTTTGTTATGAAACTGATTTATTAAATTTGTATGACCTAACTAATTAAATAATTGATTAATTTCTAATTGATTTTGTTGCAACTAATCAATTAATTCTTTAATTGATTGGTTAAAACCAATCAATTAATTTTTTAATCAATCAATCGATTAGTTTAAATTCAAAAAAGTTCATTTAATTAGTTTTTAACTAATTAACTTTTTAACTTTCAATTTGTAACACAACTTAGGTTATCATTACCAATAGAGAGTTAGCACTAATGCATGTTGTAAAAACTGTGTTTCCTGAATCAAAAAACCTTTTGTGTGTTTGGCATATTGAAAAAAACATGTTAGCTAATTGTCAGCATTATTTTTCTGCATTCGAAAAATGGGCCTTATTTTTGAAAAGTTGGACTAAAATTACAAAGTCTAAGATGAAGGAAGAATTTAATGAAAAATGAAAAAAGCTGTTAGTAACTTACAATGAAAAACCATCAGTAATTATATATCTGCAGAACATATGAATATCACTTAAATTATATTTTGTAAGCTTTTAGGCAGATTGTTATTTACATTTGGGAAATGTAACAACTTTATGGGTAAAAGAATCCTATTCAATGCTAAAGAAGTATCTTCAAGTATTTGTAGATGATCTTTGTTTTGTTTGTAAAAGAATTTTTTTAGCATTAGAAAACTAACACAAAGAAATCCAAGTTATGATTTCTAAAGAAAAAATACAAATACCTCATATACAAAACAACCTGTTTTATATACAAGTTGTCACCAAGGTGTCTTTATTCACTCTAAAAAAGGTTCATGAACAGTTTTTAAAGGCCTCTAAAGTGACTTCTGAAAATCTATTACCTACTTGTAATGGTGTCTTTACATTATCGATAGGTCTTATTTGCTCTTATAAAATTCAAGAATATCTTTTGACCAACTAATGCTAACAACTTACTGACTTTCACTAACATTGGTGGATCCAAAAATATCATTCACCTCAACAAGTACTTGCAGATACTAATAGTTCTTTACAACAACAATAGCAAAGTTATTGCCAACAGTTTGACTCTTTGACATCTCAACAACAAGGTATTATTCTAAATAAGATATCAAACCTGTTTTAAGAGTCAACTGTAACTGTAAAAGACCCACTAATACAACCTACGAGTGGACGTCCAGCTGGATCCAAAAATGTTACTTATTCATCTACTAAAAAAAATCTGTCCAACTTTGAGTTAATAGAATCCAACAAACATAGAAGGTGTGGTTTATGCCGTAGAGTTGAACATAACAGTATAACATGTCCTAGTATAAAAAAAAATAGTTAACTTATCTTCAAATTATTTTAATTCAAATGTTTGAATAATATAGCCTTTTAGAGTAGTCTTTTGTAATGAATGCAGTCTCTTATTATGTTGCCAATAGATTCATTAGATTGTTAAAGTAATAACTACTATATATACTATATGTGTTTTAGAAAGCTAAATGCATTTTAGAAAGTTAAATGCATTTTAGATAATCTAGTTACAGAAAAGGGTATGATTTGTCAAAAGAAATTATACAGTAGCTAACTAATGGTATATATAAAGATTACTTTTAACTTGAGTATATAGATTTCGATATGGGTTTCTTAAAAGCAGGTAGAATAGATTTATATTAATCTATATATTGCATAAATTCTAACTTTAACTGGCTTTAAGGATTTTTCCAATATGGATGTTCAATCAAATTCTAATTTCACATGATCGAAATTTGATTCATTGATCAGTATAGTGAAAATAGCAAATTTCCATAATGAAAATAGGCATTTCCTATATTTATTATGAGGAACTAAGTAAGAAATAGTAATAAAAGAAGGTAAAGGATGTAGCAGTGAGCAATGATTTAGAAGATTTAATGATTTTAATTGATATATATCAATTTTTGGCAATTCTTTTTTTTGATTAAAACAAAGTATAATAATTATTTATATGATGTAAGCAAAAGTAGTGTTATATTATATATATATTATTATAAATTCAAATTGCAGTGAGAGATATCAATAATGAAATAAAACTCAGCTAATTATTATTATATATATAATTGTGTATATTATCATTACTCACCAATGACCAAAATAACAAATGAGATAAGTATACTTTCACTTTTTTTTTTTTTGTATAAAATGATTAACATCATTATATATTAACTTTCTCAGATACAAGAA